TAACATAATTTATTTAAACTATTAAGGATATTATTGTCTTTTAAACATTTGATATACTTTTGTAATTATTAGATATGAATAAGGGTAGAATTGTCTTTTTAATGGCAATAGGCCAATGTGGTGAATACAAAAAAAAAATGGTCAAAATGAAAATTTGGTTGTTTGATCAAGCTATTTTAAAAATTACCCCCGTTTTACACGACCGGTTTAATGAGGGGCAATTTCGTAACTACATTTATATAGTAAAAAAAGAAAAAGAAAAAAGCTCTGCACTCCACTCCGTCAAGTACGCAAAGGCCGATCCCACCGCTACCACCCCAATGTCGGCTGTTTCACCACCGCCACCCCTCCAACGACCTTCCACAAAAATCCCTAGCAAAACTCATAATGCCATTTCGATCCCTTCACATTCCTCCAGGCACAATAAGACACCCTTTAAATGCGAGTTCACGAATTCTCCTCAGAAATGGACCATTGACTGCGTATCTTCGGGCGACCCAATTCACATCATTCTGAAACCCCCTTTTCCAATGGCCTCTTCAAGTGCCGGTTTGGATTCTTCAATTAAGAATCCCAAAAGAATTTGCCTTTTTTACTCCTCGGAAATGAGGGATCTTGCTGAAAGAATTGCGACAGAATCTGACGCTATTGAGCTCCGTAGCATCACCTGGAGGTATCCTGTTTAATTGAAATTATCCAGATTCAATGAATTGGAACACACACACGCACACACGTGTGTGTGTGTGTTTTTTTTTCCTTACAGTATATTGATTAAGCGTAGTTTTAGTTTGTTCTGAGAAATGGGATCACGAGAATACTTCATTTAATGGTATATTAATATTAATGTGAAAGACCAACTTTTGTACTTTCTGTTGTCTTTTACGTATTGAGTATCTTGGTTGGACTTTTCTGTCAAATGAGTTTAAACAGAGCCTAACTCTGGGTCGATTTGTTAAGGTAGTTCTCTAGAGAATTATTTTGTATGATTTCATTCAGATGTATTCTTTATCATGAAGTGAATAAAAACTATTAGAATTATGCTATAGTGTAACTTTGAATATTTGGAGATTTTTGTTATTCTTAGTACTTTGTTTTGGTATAAATGATTTGTAGATCACTGAAATACAAGGGGAGAAGTTTACCCATTATTTGCCCTTAATTTATATGTAAGTTCTGTTTTAGTTGGAGAGACTGGTAAGTGAGGAAGTATTTTCCGTTTTTCAATGATCGCCATCGCTCTTTTACTTTCCAGTCAAGAGTCTTGATAGGGAGTTCTAACGTTTTGAGAAAATGAGACTTCTTCTCTACTTATGATGGAACAAAGTGTAATTTGGTGATCTTTCATCTTGCTAACTGTCATTAGGATCCTTTATGATTGTTGTTTTCATTGCTTATAATGACTATCCTTTTAATCAATTTATCTAATTGCTATTTGGCATGAAATGATAAATAAGGTTTGAACTAGTTGTCTTGTTATTCAAATTTATTGATATTTCTCCCAACATATGAGTTGTGAAAATAATAGTATGTATTATATAACATAGGTTTATTTGTGTATTTAATCAATCAGGAAATTTGAAGATGGATTTCCTAACTTATTCATATCCAACGCTCATGGAATTCGTGGTCAACATGTAGCTTTTCTAGCTTCATTTAGTTCCCCTGGCGTTATTTTCGAGCAATTGTCTGTTATATATGCGCTGCCGAAGCTGTTTGTTTCATCCTTTACACTTGTCCTGCCATTTTTCCCCACGGGCACGTCCGAGCGTATGGAGGATGAAGGAGATGTTGCCACGGCTTTCACGCTGGCGAGAATCTTGTCAAATATTCCAATTTCAAGGGGTGGACCCACCAGTATAGTAACTTTTGATATTCATGCCTTACAGGTGGGTAGGTAAATGAATCGTGCTTTAGTGGTGACTAGTGTTATATTCGTGCTGCTATTCATTCTTTTAATTATGCTCATTATCTTTCTTTTTTTCTTCTGGAGCTTAATGTACTGTTTCCTTTTCATTTTTCTTTTGTACCGCAGGAGAGATTTTACTTTGGTGATAATATTTTACCATGCTTTGAAAGTGGTATACCGATGCTCTTGAATAGGCTTCAACAGCTCCCGGACTCTGACAACGTAAGACTTTTTCTTTATTCCTTTGAATTTCATTGTAGCTAAAGGTTCTTGTTACTTTTCCAGCATTTTGAGCACAAAGTAGTTGTCAATGGAATTAATTTTGTTTTGGAAAGTGAGAGTTTTAAAGTGCACGTTGAACTTGAAAATGTTCAAACATTAAGTTAGGTCTTTGTCTCCAGTGGTTCCAAAAAATGGTGAATTTATAGGGAAACGATGGCTTAATTAGCATATGCATCCTTATTGTGTTGGATAGAAGGTGGCTTAAAAATCCCACCCACTTGTAAGAAATTCAATTTCTTTTATAATGTTTTGCTATATATTGCTCTTAGAAACTTATTGTGCACTAATTATGTATTCATTTCTCATCCACAACTGAATTTCTGATTATATTCCATGCTTTTTGGGCAATTGCAAAATTGAGTTTTTTAACCGTCATAGTTTAAGAGATGAAATTCATGTGTATTCATTTTTTCGAAAATTTTCAATTCCTTTTTTCTGTGTCCAGATAACCATAGCCTTTCCAGATGACGGTGCATGGAAACGGTTTCATAAGCAGCTGCAGCACTTTCCAATGGTACTACTCCTAACACAGACATGGATGTCAACAATAACCATAGCTTGCCACTCATGCTTTCTAAGAACTCAATCTGTACAGTTCCTATATAAGTAAAGATATAACCATCCAAACACATCATAAATTCCAGTTTTGCCTGCTGGAACCACTATCTGATTTACTTCCTCTGAATACTATTCCATGGTATATATAAAGGCCTTAAAAGAGTATCAAGAAAAATGAATATGTATGAGAATTCATGGTATAGCTGAGTATTTGGCATTTATTTGATTAAAACTAGCGTCAATGTTCCATCAATCAGCGAATGTTTCCTCTGTTTTCTATTCTTCTAACTCGTGGAACTATGCACTGTAATAAATTGGCTTAACCGTCTGATAACCATGTACAGGTTGTTTGTGCCAAAGTTAGGGAAGGTGATCAACGAATCGTACGCATTAAGGAGGGAGACGACGTCATGTTGTAATAGTTGATGACCTTGTGCAATCAGGTGGCACACTATCAGAGTGTCAGGTAAAATGATTTTATGGCAAACTCTCCATTCTTTAAACGTATCTGTAGGGCTTTGCATAATATCGTTTAGTTTCTACAAGCACTGTTTCGTATTTTTGAGAAAAACACTAGTATTGTAATTGACCGCTAATGTGTGTGTGTGTGTGTTTTCCCAGAAAGTATTGGCGAAACATGGAGCTGCAAAAATAAGTGCCTATGTGACACATGGTATTTTCCCCAACAGCTCTTGGGAGCGGTTTAAACACGATAATGGAGGTAGTCACGCATCATATGAACCAAAATACTGCATTTTTCAAAATTTTAATTGTGCCACCGGAACTTAAGATAGCAACTATATGTAGTGTATGTTTGGTATAGCATTTTGTAGATCATAAGCTGTGTGTCTTACGGAATGTGTGAATAAAAATAATGTTTGACTAGCTTATAAGCTTGAAATAACACTACCAGACGTGCTCATAGTATGTTCAATCATATGTTTTCATATTTCCGCTAACTGTAGCTGCATTTTCGTAAATCATATAATGTAGCTGAAACTCTTTCAGGGAACCCTGAGAATGGGATGACGTATTTCTGGATCACAGACTCGTGTCCTCAAACAGTGGAACATGTTAAAAACAAGGCTCCATTTGAAATTCTAAGCCTTTCCGCTTCGATTGCATCTGCCCTCCAGGTCTAATGGTGGTTTTCAGACATCTGCTTCTAATTTTTTTCTGCATCTCAAAGAGTCAAAGGGCAATATAGAGTTACCGAATAGAAGCTGAGGATTCAACACCAGAAGATTTCTTCTTTTCTTTTTGAGTTTGATTGATCTAGCAATGAATTGAACTGACGGAGAAAAAGAATATATGTAGAGTGAGTTTTAGTTTATTGTTTAGAATAAGTGTATTGTATTGATATAATGGGATTTTACTTACCCATAAATTATAATACATGTAAAAAACCTAAAATTCTACATACTTGCTTGATGAATGCTTGAAATCATGGGTTTTACTACTCAATTTTGGTTTGTCAAAAATAAATATTAATTCGGTTCTTCAAGAATTTGAGTAGGCTTCAAAATTTGGAGAGGCCTGGGTGTATAGTAAAAACCGGTTGAGGTCAATAGAAAATTTGAGTTATGTTAATAAATAATAAGCAATGATCCGGCCTGGTCATATCATTTCGAGTCGTCGATTATCTAAAAAGATAGGTAGTGTGTCGGATCATAGTTGGTTTTGATTGCACTAATGTGTTTCTGAGCGAATTGGAGTTCCTCTTTGTCTCCACTTTTTGTGAAATTAAAATCTTCATTTTTACTAATGCAAAGTGGGTGTGGGTCTTAGTGTGTGAGAATTATATAAGAAGTAAGTCAAAAAGGAGAGGGGGCGGGGGGGACTGTGGGCCCATCTGGAAGTGGCGACGATCAATTAATTGGGACGTAAGAATGGACATGAGCTTAATAACTAGGATTGTGACAATTTCTATTAGAGAACATACAGAGAGATGCAATTTGCATAATGTATAATGAGTGTGATATGTTGATGACTACTTCTAAAAGACTGATTTTGTAAAGTAATTTTGATGTGAAATATGGATCTTTATCAACATTCGATGTAAAAAGGATGGAATGAATCCAAGTCATCAATTTAAATCTTAATTTGTGAGTTCATAAAAAGCTGTGATCCCTCTCGAGGGTCATAATTTCGTATTCGTATGGGTATTTACATTATTATTGATATTTGTCAACTGAAAAATCATTATTAATGATAAATGAATTGTAATCCTTTCACTTTAGACAAGTAACAAAAATCAGCATTACCGTCCCTCTCTGTAACTATAAAAACCCCAAAGAAAAACTTTCCATTTCAAAAACTCCAAAAATGGCGGGATCAATGGTTACAATACCAACTAATCACTTGGAAATGGAAAACCCTAGGCATTCGCACTCACAAATCTCCCCAGTCATAGATCAATGGCAAATCCAATATGCACGCTTCATCAACTACAGCTCCTCCAATTTCAGCTGTACTCATTCTTCTCTCTCGCCCCTGGCCGCCGTCCAAAAGCAGCGCCTACGCAGCGGCGCGTGGATTTCCTCCTCCTCGTTCACGGCCTGTGTCAAGCTTGTATCAGATCGCCATAACGGATTTTCCGATGCCATTCTCTTGCTGTCTCTCCGAGTTAAAGTCCTCGTAAGTTCAAAATCAAATCGCGTATTTGTACAGGTTTTTATGTAGTAGTGCTTTGGTTTTTCATCTTCTTCTACCATTGAAGTCACTGCATGTCGGAAACCTAATTCAACGTCCTCCGTTTGATTAATTCAGTTTCTGTGCTTGATTTTATTAGCTGCAAAGTCCTCGCAACAATCGACTACATTTGTATTGTAGTTTCCGCATTAGATACAGTTATTCTTCCTTGTAAGTTCAACATTTAATGAATCCATGCCCTCTGTTTGATTTACAACTCTTTCTTTAATGATCTTGATTCAGTTCCGAGATCGATATATTAGCTGTGACTCCGAAAATTTCTCTAGAGCTCGAAATCATACAGATGTCTTACTTTAAATTGATCAGAGCAACTCTTTGAATATGCTAGATGCAAAGTCCATATAGATACAAAATAATCGACCTTCTCAGTATATTGTGTAGTTTGCTTGCTTTTTACATAATTATCCTGTCTTTTGCTTGACTTTTTCTTTCTGATTTCTAGTACTTTGTGCTTATAATACCACACCTTCATTTCTCTGTGTTGCACCTTGTTGGGGATTGAACCAGTAAGACAAACAAGCAGCGGAAACAATATTTCAACCCCTCAAATGTGCAGAATTAAAATGGCAATAATAACAACAATACTCGGCGCCAATAGCTCAACACACATTGCAAGAAATTAACAATTGAACACAAAGATTTGTTGAGGGGAGACCCTTCAGTGTGAAGGGAAAAACCCCGGACCTAGTCCAATAAAAGCGTTCCACTATGAAAAATTATGGGATACAGCGTTTTTCTTCTCTAGAATACAATCTAGAAGCTACCAATACATCAAGAACACATATAGTTCTTGGATACCAACAACAACATTATTCTAAAGTAAATACACACAATAACAAGGAGAAAATCTCACTAAACAAGTGTGTAATGCCTAGAGAAATGGAGAGGAATTTGGACGGTCATTTTCAGTCAAAACGTAGCTCTCTTTGCCAGGAAAAACATATTGAAATTTCAACTTAATCAGACCACAAATGAACCTCCAATCTTTAGCGAGAAGAAGCTAAAGCCCATGTGTCTCTCTCTCTCGATCACTCTCTGTTTTTAGAAGGAATGGTACGTGTGTTTTTGTCTTTGTTTTGGGGCTTTTAATTAGTTTTGGGAGAAAGGTGGAAACTGTCCCACTTCCAGAAATTGTAACTTCCCTCACGTGGGGGGAACTCCCAACAAATCTCCCTCTCTCGACTACGTGAGGGACTTCACCAAGCCCGCTTTCCTTCTACACACTAGTAGTTTCTCCATAGGTAATGGCTTTGTCATCATATCTGAACCATTCTTATCAGTGTGAATTTTCTCAAGCGGTAACTTCTTCATCTCCAAAGCATCTCGAATCCAATGATACCTCATTTCAATATGTTTGAATCTTGACTGGAAGGTTGGATTCTTACTGAGATGAATAGTACTCTATCTGTCTCAATAGAGTGTATACTTCTCTTGCTTGAAGCCCAGTTCTTGTAAGAACTTCTTCATCCATAGCAACTCCTTGCTAGCTTTGATGGCTATATACTCAGCCTCTGTGGTAGATAAAGTAACACATTTCTGTAATCTTAATTGCTATGAAACTGCTTTCCCTGAAAAAGTGATCAGATACGTAGAAGTAACTTTCTAGAGTCAACATCCCCAGCCATATCTGCATCTGTGAACCCAACAAGCTCGGGTTTGCTGGTACCAATAGATAAACAAATCTTAGAAGTCTCTCTGAGATACCTAAGAATCCACTTCACTGCTGTCCAGTGTTCCTTTCTAGAACTAGAGAGGAATCTGCTGACAACTCCAATGGAATGAGCAATATCTAGCCTTGTGCATACCATAGCATACATTAAGCTACTGACGACTGATGCATAAGGCACATTCTTCATTTCTTCCTTTTCTTTCTCGCTTGAAGGATTTTACCTTGAACTCAACTTCAAATGACTTACAAGTGGAGAGCTTATTGGTTTTGCCTTGTCCATATTGAACCTATGTAATATCTTCTCGATATAACCTTCCTGTGATAGCCATAATTTTCCATTCTTCTAGTTACGAGTGATTTTCATACCGAGAATTTGATTTACAGGTCCCAACTCCTTCATCTTAAAGGACTTACTCAATTCATTTTTCAGCTTTTTAATTTTTTCAGTGTCACTACCAACAATCAACATGTCGTCCACATAGAGTAAAAGAATAATAAATTCCACATCAGAGAATTTCTTTATGAACACACAATGATGAGAAGTTGTTCTGGTATATCCATGCTCAACCATGAAGAAATCAAATTTCTTGTACTATTGTCTTGGTGCCTGCCTCAAACCATACAAGCTTTTCTTCGACCGATGTATAAGATTTTCTTTGCCTCTAGCTATAAATCTTTCTGGTTGCTCCATATATATTTCCTCCTCAAGGTCACCATGGAGGAAAGCAGCCTTTACATCAAGTTGTTCAATCTCCAAATTCATACTAGCTGGCAAGCCTAACACAACTTGAATTGAAGACATTTTAACCATAGGTGAGAATATTTCTTCAAAATCAATACCTTTATTCTGATCAAACCCCTTCACAACCAACTTTACCCTGTACATTGACTGCAAGCTATTTGGTTCAACCTTTACTCCGAACACCCATTTGTTCTTTAGTGCTCTCTTGCCCTTAGGCAGCTCCATCAGATCATAAGTATGGTTCATATGCAAGGATTTCATCTCTTCTTGTATAGCTTTTAACTACTCCATTTTCTGATCATGTTGTAGAACCTCCTGATAACGTTCCGGCTCTTCCCTCATAAAAAAGTAACACATATTCATTACTAGAATACCTTTTGGAAGGTTGACGCTCTCCAGTAGATTTTCTCAACTCTTCTTCAACTGGCACCTTTGAAGGAGATTCCTCTTGATTTTGATCTAGTTCTGCATCGCTCTATGTAGTGGCTTCATCATGTCTATCATGTTCTTCTTGCACATTTTCTCTATGGTCCTCATGTACCACACGTTTTGGTACATATGGAACTGAATTGATTTGTTCTTTATTGATTGAATTTGGCTTCTTAATCTGATTCAAGTCTTCAATGGATTCATTTTCAAAGAAGACAACATCTTTGCTCCTGATGATCTTTTTATTCACTGGATCCCACACCCTGTACCCAAATTCTTCATGTGCATAACCCAAGAAGATGTACTTTTTTGCTTTGCTATCAAGCTTAGATCTTTCATCTTTAGGAATATAAACAAATACCCGACAGCCAAAAACTCTTAAGTGATTAAGAGATATATTTTTCTCTGTCCAAAAACTCTCTAGAACATCACCGTTTAAAAGAACTGATGGAGAAAGATTAATCCAGTCAACTGCTGACTGATGTCCTCATTGCCTCGACCCAAAAGTGCTTGGGCAATGTTGCATGAGAAAGCATGCATCTGATTTTCTCACAAATAGTCCTGTTCATTCTTTTTGCCACTCTATTTTGTTGTGGAGTCTTCGAAACAGTTTTCTCAAGTCTGATGTCATATTTTCTGCAGTACTCTTCAAATGGCTTACGGTACTCATCACCATTATCTACTCTGACACATTTTAACTGCTTTCTAGTTTCTTTTTCAACTTTCAAATGAAAGTCTTTAAATACTTCCAGTACCTGATCTTTAGATTTCAACGGATATGCAAACACTTTTCTAGAGTGATCATCAGTAAATGTGACTTAATACAATGCACCACTTAGAGATTTACTTTGTATTGTGCAAACATCAGTGTGAACTAAATCAAGAATATGAATCTTTCTAGATGCAAGGAATCTACGAAATGCAACTCTACTTTTCTTTCCAACTAAACAATGAGTACAAGGGATTCGTGATGTACCTTTCACATTGTCTAGGAGCTTCTCTTTGGCAAGAATTTGAAGTCCTTTTTCACTCATATGGCCAAGCTGCTTATGTCATAGCTCATTAGAAGCTTCATTTTCTGCAATATTCACATCTCCATGGATTAATTTTGCTTCTGTTCTGTAGAGACCATTAGTCTTCTTTCCTCTAGCTAAAACGAGAGAACCCTTTGTAAGTTTCTAACTACCATCTCCGAGGTCATTATGATAGCCTTCTTCATCAAGCTTTCCAACAGAAATCAAGCTGCAGTGCATATCAGGAACATGTTTGACACCCCTGAGAAGTAACTTGCTATCAATTCTAGTTTTTAAGTGTACATCCCCCATGCCAACCATTTTTGCTTTAGCTTCATTTCCCATCCTAATCCAACCAAAATTACCATTGATATAGGATGAAAAGAAATCCCTACGTGGAGTAATATGAACAGAAGTTGCTGTATCAACTATCCATGGAGAATCCTGGCATGTAAGGCTAGTAAATGCTTCATCAGAAGCTATAAATACCTCAGCATCAGATGCAACTGCTGTAGTCTCCTTTTGTACTTTTTGTTCTTTACCTTTCCATTTTGACTGTTCTCTTTTCCATTTTCTGCAGTCTTTTTTAAGGTGCCTTAGCTTGTTACAATAATAACATTTTATCATTTTTCTTGACTTCGATTTTCCTCTAGACTTGTCACGACTGTCATCGCCATAAGGTTTTCTACTTTGGCTTCTCCCTCATTTCTTTGTAACAAGTGCTTCAGAATTAGAAGAAATACCCTGCTCTTTTCTTCTAGCCTCTTCATTAAACATACTATCTTTCACCATGTCGACAGTGATCACACCATTTGGAGCTTAATTACTCAGAGATAACTAAAGCTTCACAATTGTCTAGTAAGGAACTCAACAGAAGTAAAGCCTGAAGCTCATCATCTAGTGTAAGATTCATGGTAGAAAACTCATTCAACTATCCTTGAAAGCTGTTCAAGTGCTCTGCAACACTATTACCATCCCTGTACTTTAAATTTACGAGCTTTCTAATTACAAAAGCCTTGTTTTGTGTAGTCTTTCTTTCATAAAGACTTTCTAATTTCTGCTAAAGACTATATGCATCTACTTCTTTGGCTATATGATGGAAGAGACTCTGATTAACCCACTGCCTAATCTGTCCAACAGCCTTTTTATTCAACTTTTTCCAATCCTTATAAATCTTAGAATCGAGTTTCTTGCCATTCATTTCAATAGGTTCAAACAAAACATTGCAATACAGAATATCTTCCATCCTAGTCTTCCAAAGAAAATAATTGGAAGTTGTGAGTTTAACCATGCCACCAGCCAAATCCTTCATTTTAATTCTCACCAGAAATACAGAGACTCAACCAACGCTCTGATACCACTTTGTTGGGGATTGAACCCGTGACACAAACAAGCAGCGAAAACAATATTTCAACCCCTTAAATGTGCAAATTAAAATGGCAATAATAATAACAATACTTTGCTCCAATAACTCACACACACTGCAAGAAATTTAACAATTGAACACAAAGATTTGTTGATGGGGAAACCCTTCAGTGTGAAAGGAAAAACCCCGGGACCTAGTCCAGTGAAAGCCTTCCACTATGAAAAATAATGGGATACACCATTTTTCTTCTCCAGAATACAATCTAGAGGCTTCCAATACATCAAGAACACATAGTTCTTGGATACCAACAACAACCTTATTCCAAAGTAAATACACACAATAACGGGAGAAAATCTCACTAAACAAGTGTGTAATCCCTAGAGAAATGGAGAGGAATCTGGAAGATCAACTCCAGCCAAAATGTGGCCCTCTTCGCCAGGAACAACATATTGAAATTTCAATTTAATTGGACCACAAATGAACCTCCAATCTTTAGCGAGAAGAAGCTAAAACCCATGCGTCTCTCTCTCTCTCTCGGTCACTCTCTGTTTTCAGAAGAAATGGCACGTGTGTTTTTGTCTTTGTTTTGGGGCTTTTAATTAGTTTTGGGAGAAAAGTGAAAACTGCCCCACTTCCACAAATTGTAACTTCCCTCACGTGGAGGGAACTCCCAACACACCTGATGTTTCCAGTCCTCTGACTGTATTTTTTCGGAAATAGTAATTTTAATTTGATTTCTATCTATCTAAAATTGAATTTCTGCATAGCCATGTGAATAAGATCCTTATGATTCCACTGCCACGTCTGGTTATTGTGTTTTGCATGGAATGTGTGTAACTTAATCTGTTGCATTACTTTCATTTTTATACAGTTCATAGCAATACCAGGATTAAAGTGATCTTTGAATATATACTATGGTAATGATCGTTTTCATCACTTAGAGTAATTTCTCTCTGTGGATTGATTCTGATGATTTTTTCCCCTTATGTACAAGGTTTTCTGTAAGTACCATTTTGATTTTGTGAATTTTCATAGAGAATGTAACAAATTTAGTGGTTCCATCGATGGTTCAGGAGGAGCATTATATCTCAAAGCTTCAATTTTCATGGCCTCAAGTGTCATGTGTCTCTGGATTTCCTTCACGTGGGAGCAGAGCTGTTTTTGTTAGTTACAAAGATGGAGTAGGCCAGGTAAGCTGCTAAACAATTTCAAACTCTTACTAAAATTTCTTCCATGATGGAGCTTTTCTTATGACTTGTTGTCTTGTTGAAACGAAGAAGTCTTTCCATTTACAATAATGATATAAAGAGGACGTTACTTGCTGTTGCAGTAGACTCTGGAATCTATGGATAGTCATGCTTATCGACTTCCTTTTATCAAGCTGAAAATGTTTATTGACTTATTCATGCAATCAAATGAGTTTAACTAAATGGTTTTAGTTGCTTCAATATATCTAAGCTCATCAGGATTTATGTTCATGAATGTTTACAGATCCAGAAATTTGCACTCAGGTTTTTGAACAGCTTTGAAGCCGAAAACTTCATGAATGTTCTAAAGGTGTACCCATTAGTATCTATGATTTCATTGCCTATTAATTTATTTCCATTGCATTACATAAATATATTACATTTTTCTAAGTGATATTTTATCTGTTTTACTCAGGAAATCTTGGATAGTGAAAGACTTCAAGCGCTTCCATGCGACTCCAACCTATCTTATCAGGCTGAGTCTGTACATTCAATTGGACCTGCATACAGGTATGCGCAGTGATGCACTGTTGCTCAATTTTGTTCTGTTCCTTGAAACAAATTTATATGAGCACAGACTCAAAATCTTGTGGCAAAGAGCGTGGACCCTCTTCAAACAACAAGGATATAAGAGTAATTGTAATGCACATAAATGAAGGAAAAAAACAATTAATTAGTGAATAATCAAAAAGAAATTTGACAATAATATCCAATGTCATTTGCAGGCCCGAGAAGGACTGGCAGTATACAACTTCTGCAGACACCAGTATACATCTGATACCACCAATTGATAAAGCTCAAGATTCAGATCCACAGGCAAGTTCACAAAATGTTGCTGATGAAGGGATACATCCAGCTTTTCCTCCCAGTTTCACATCATTATTGATGAATCATTGCCCTGCAGCCAAAAAAGGTATTTTTTTTCTCTATTCTATCATTTGATATTGTACTCTAACTTCGAGTCTTGCAGTTACTCACTTGATTAATCAAATTATCTACCTGCAGCAAAACCAGCAGAGACCGAGGAAGTTGATCTTAAAACCCAAATAATGGTACTTAAACCTTGTTTTCATGCTACAAATTTTTGTCTCTGACACACACACAGATATTATAGTTATGTATTATCAGGCAACTCTAGTATGACATTTAATATAATGAATCTGCTCCTGCCTCCATTAGTTTCACGATTTGTTTTTCTTGCAGCAATATCTTGAAGGTTCCTCTTTCAAAGGTATGGTTTACTATAAGATACTATTAATCCTTTGTACACCATCCGTTGAAATATTTGCTTTGGGTAAATTTATCGTTTTGCCATGTTAGAAGTACTGAGAGAGAAAGACAATAATCAGAAAACTGCTGAACGATAGAACTTTCCATCGCACATATTTTTAGTATGTTATTGCATAAATCTAACATACTAACTGGATCTTTGAATATTACCAGATATAGTGGCTACTGTAGAGAATGTCATCAAGGAATTGGGAGATGATATACTGCTCTAAACATTGATGAACATGGAGCTAGAGCTGAATCAATTGTAAAGCATGCACATGTTCATTGTCTTCATAGCATTTTCATAATTTTGCTTAAAAATTCTTTTTGTTGTTATTATGTGTTTCAATGAAATTGGGAAAAGAAAAATGAAGCCATTCTACAATCTTTTCTTGTAACATAGGCTTGGTTTTACGTGACTGATACATGGACTGCATCTTCATGACTTTTCCAATGCATATTCTCTGGTTGAAAGGATTCAAATTAGTGAGGCTTGGCGATAGGCTTTGCTTCTACGTCTGCCTTCCAAGCCATTGAAACATTAAGCAAGAACATGAATTGCAAGATACTGCATCATATCAAATAAGCCATAACAAGCTTATGAAAATCATATGTATAGGTTTACCCTTTGAAAACTACTACTCAAAACTCAAATTCTTTGCGTTGAATTTTGCTAGTTAATAATATTGAACTAAACGAACATTGAAAGGTCTTAGCACATGATACATCATTAGCTACTGACTGAAAGCACAACAAATTGTTCCATTTCATCCAATTCTGCCTCGCCGCTATGCCTAAACATATAGGTAATGGGTGCAGTATTCTCTCTTTGAATGTAGCAATTTTATGTGTAGGCATAAAAGCTCTTAATTTCCATTTGCAATCCCATGGATGGTTGAGAGCCTCTTCACAAAGAGACCAAACTCCTCATCCCTGCTCAGCATGCTTATTCTCACACTTTGGGTCGCTCCCAAAGCGCTTTTCACTTCTTGTTAGAATTCCGTGCCCTCTAAATAGTTTCTCACAGTCCACATCTTCTTTGCATTTCATCCATGCAAAGGCTGTTGAAAAATCACAAAATAAATGTCGACATGTATTTCAAACCTAACATTGTCTCGTCAGTTTAGCCATATGCTCACTACTCAAACATATTCGAAGCCACTCATGGTGGTAGGTTCCACCTTGTGTATTACAAGTATCTGCATGTGGCTGAACTCTGATTGTCCAGAATTAAATACATAGATTACATAATTGATTACCAGGATGTGCCTCAGTGAAGTCTCCAGTGAAATTGTAGTACTGAATTTGGAACGTGGGTAGAGTCAAGAGTTTATTGCGTTTAACAACTTCCCTCAACTTCTTCCACCTTTCAGTCAAGAGTTGCTGGCCATATTCAAAAAAGTTATCCAACTCCGGAAGCCTAACGGTTTGGCTGCAGCTATCAGAAATCACTTCCAGGATCTTGGCTGCTCTTTGTTGTGCTTCTTTGGACACTCCAATTGTGTTGATCTCAATAAACTTCACCATTTTCCTTGCTACGTTTATGTCCTTAACAAGAGCCCATCTGTACATTGAACAAGAATCAACAAATATGGTGGGAACCGTTTGGTTTGATCTGCTTCTTGCAAGAACATGATTGGACTCGGTCTCGGAGGATGTTTGACCAAGTTCTTAAAAAGTAAAGTTACTTTTTAAGTAACCTCTTTTGACAAACATGTTCAGTAAAAATTACTGCATTTTCATGTAACCATTAGGGGTGAACACATTTGGATTCGATCCACCTCTTGCAAGACCATGATCGAATCAGTCAAGTCTTGGAGTATGTTTGGCTTAAGTCCCAAAGAATGCAAGTTACCCAATTCTTGATCCTGCATGTCCAGTGCATTTAGAAACTGTGAACAGCATAACATCATGATCTGCTGGACCGGTCATGGGAGTGTACTGTGGCCAGTAGTAAGCAAGGTCATGAACAAGCATCCCTTGAGCTCTATTCACAACAGGTTCTCTCATAACCCCATCAGGGTTATTTGGGGCAGTTACCATTTCTATGTAGGACCCATCTTTATCAAAATTATGTGCATCACCTGCCCATTTGTAGAGTCCTGACCTTAAAAAATCTGTCACTTCTGGATATGACTGCAAGAAACAATGAAGTTTTACAGATTTGTGTCAGTGATCACCAACGTAAGTTTCATATGTTATAGAAATCATGTGATCAGACAATTTAATAGAAATTTTATGTTATTTTATTAGTCTTTGCATTTGTCAAGGTTACCATGTTTGTCATGTCAGGAGATCTCTAACATTCAACCAACAAAAGCCTCAGCAAGAGACAAAGTTTGTCGTAAAACATCAGATAGTTTATTTTGTGTCTGATTTTTAGTTGACTTTATTTAGATATTCAGAAATTTTAGAAGTCAAACTAATCATAATCGATTTATATGAATTCTACAGTTTCTGTAATAGTTTAAGGTTTTGGTCGAGATAACACATACCAAGTAGTAAGGAGCAGCCGATACAACACTGATAGGCTTTGGCTCATTTAAAGGATCAGAAAGGGCATATAATACAGCCTGAATGAGCTGACTTGATCCAGTCCCAACAACAATATGGTAACCCTCTACTGTTGCATTGCGTACGACATTGTGCAATTTCATTATCTCTTCCTCAAGTTTTGGCTCCGAAAACCAGCACAAGTTTTTCAGGTTGGCGAAATAATTTAGAGATTGATTTCCCGTGAACGTGACAGTGCACGTGTTTCCCAGTTTTCTCCAGCAGGATTCAAACATTGTAGGATCACCACTGTCGAAAAAAAAAAAAAAAAATGCATCAGCCACATAGAAATATTCTTATTCATAAAGGGTCGACCACAAAAATCCTACTTCGCCACTCTAAAGCCAAATTAAACACATTGGTAAAATATAATCAAGAAAGTGATGAAAACACACACACACACATTGGTGAAAGACTTACTGATCCAGATTGATGATGGCGTCGGACAGTTGGTTAGACTGGGGGTTATTCTCTGTGGCTTCAGGCAAAACACCAGAACACTTTGAGCCTTTGATAACAATGGCCTGATCTGATCCATACATCTTTCTTGATCTCAATTCTTAGTGAGTGTTTTAGGATTCAGAAAGAACAGCTCCAGTAGTATATAACTGAACTCACACTCTATATTTTATATGCCTGTGCTTTGGACGAACAGCAGTGGTTAGATATTCCGTTACTAATTTAGTTTGGATTGCTTTCAATAAATGTGTTTTCATCAGATTTTTTATTTCTAGATTCTTAATTGTAAAAGTTCCCAAAAATGGTGGGAGAGTCAATTTTTTGTGTAATTGTTTTTGCAGGCCAACTTTCTCTAAAAACTATTCACACCTAACAAAATGAAAATTATCTAATATATTTGAAGGCAATTTTTCAGTTTCATAAGCACTTTTTGACTTTTCAAAGTTCTATTGAAGTGGCTTTATATATAAAGATATGCTACAAATACAAGGGGTCAGATCAAGGGCCAAGGTCGAGCCACCTCAACCCTGTCCCCATTCCCTATCCCTTTAGCATATCTGTTATATGTAAGGAAGTGCTGCTGTGATAGGGGATCTTATTCGTTTAGCATTCCCCTTGTATATGATAAGGGTGGATCACTAAATTTTTTGCACAGATTAAGGAATAAAAGATCTGACAAATTAAGGATAAAATTTTATGTAAGAGATAAATCTTATCTCGACAAAGAAATTTTCAAGTTGTCTTATCCAAATATAAATGCAAACACTTGACATCTTAATGACTTTATAAATAACAAATATGGTAATTATTATTTGTTATATTAAAACATATTTTTAAAAATACACCACTAATATAAAGATATAACCCTAATTAAGTATCTATAGATATGGCTTAACGCTCTTTAAGATTTTCGATCTTTATTTCGTATATTCTAAATAAGTAATTTTATCAAAAATACCTTTTTTAAAGAAAAATAAATATGGTTCAACAGTATCTTTGCCATATAGTGAACTAAACTATATTAAAATAAAAAACAATACTCTACGAACACAATATCATGTTGGGAAGTTGCATGACTAGCATGTGCTGAGGATAATTACACATGTCCATGTAGGAATACATCGATTATGTGCATAATATATTCATAAAAGCATACCGTTTATTTGTGTGAAATCGAAACGTAATTTCGACTTACCAAAATAGAATTTGAGAAGCAAAATAATAATAGTTGCCGAATCCGAATGCATGAATATGGATTCATCTTTTTCGATTCTCAAACGAAAGCAAGTTATTCTTTTGAATCAAATCTCGCAGAACAAACATGTAAATAATGTTAATCAGTTTCTGAAATCAAATCATAATTAAGAGAAATCAGAAAGTGAAGGAAGAAAGATGCAAGTGATGAATTTTTGGTCGAGGCAAGTGTTTGATACTTGGTCCTTAAGATGAATTTGCCCCGCATCGGTGCTAACGATTTTTCGACAATCATCTCTCAAGATACAACGACCACGTCAAGCCATAGGAGCACTCCAAATGACTTCGACCAACGAACTCGAACGGAATTTCCTCTCTACAAAGGAAATGCATGAAAATGCTATGAAATTAGAAATGAGAGAATTGCAAGAGAAGAATGAATGCTCAATGCAATTGGTGTGCCCAAAATTATGTCCATAGGGTTCTATTTATAGATGTAGAAAGAGTGCAAATGAAGTAGTGTGGGCCAAAACATGCATCCTTTCAAAAAATTGCAACACTTGGCCAAAACCTACATCCTTTCGAAAAGTTGCAACACTTCATTTCTTCCAAATTTAGTTCGTAATTTTTCATTCATTCGAAATTGGTTTCGAGATCCCAAATATACCATGACGATCTACTCAACGAGTAGAATAAGTTGGTCTATTTACTTTTGTAATTTGACCATCAGATCAAGTCTGAATATTTGGTTGAAGTTGACACATAGTCACACCTTTTTATTTTCCACTTTTATACACCTTTTCATTTTCCAATTTTTGCTTAATTTGAACCAATTCCTACAATCCCCCACATGAATGAAAATTGGGTACGCATATGCAAATGCAATGATATGATGCAATGTAGAGAAGGTGCGAAAAAACACTGCATCAGGGAATGTAGCTTCTGGCCTTAAACCTCCCTTAGTGAAATACCATTGGACTTACTCGGCTAATTGGTGAACGTGATGTCTTGAACCATTCAACTTTTAATGTAAGCCAAGACAACGATACTCACACAATGTCTTCCCTAAGCCATTCATGGTTCTCATGACTTGGTTCATTTTGGTCCTGAACCCTTCTTGATTCTGCGAGTGTTTAGAGAATTTAATCCTTGAATAATTCTCACTGAAGTGGCCACACTTCACACTCACGCAGGTGACCTCCTATTAAGAGTGTTCTGCCCTATTCCACTTGACTTAAGATATAAGAATCATTAAAAAATTATCTTAACTTCTTACAACTCTACAGAAAGCACTTTAATATCATAGGAATGAGTTAGGAAACTATTTTCCTTAGTGTTTCATAGAATCCTCATAACTTAGTTGTCCCTTTGAACCAAGATCTTGGGATCTCCAGTCAACAAGATAGGGTTACCATTACAAGGGCTCTAACGTAGTAGGCTTTACCTCATTCCTTTCGATATACAGTATTCTTGATCTCTTTTAGTAAATCTCTTTCAAGGTACCACGAGTTTACACCATTGAGATCGACTGCTTAATGGTATTATGTTTATGACTTATCTATGACTTATATGTCTAGACCTACTATTACATGTGACTTAGTATCTTATCAATTATTGCTAGCCAATGATCGATTCATTTGATAGATACAAATTATCGCCACCAAGAAATCCTCTCATGAAACTACATGCCTCAATAGCTTTATCTAAAACTTTATCAATTTCTAAAAAAACACTGTTACAGGATTTCTATCTAATTATTACACTAGTCAACCATGTTTAGAAGTGGATTTCAGAATCATGGGTATTCAATATCATCATTGAAACATTACCATGCATTTGAACTATATTAATATTCTTCATATATTCCAATTGTTCTTGCATGTCCAAACAACAGCCACAATTGGCTTTACAACCCATTTCATCCACTTTAGACTTAGTATATATCATCATTATAATTAGAATAAGGGTTTTCTATCTTTCTACCTTCATAGATATCGTTCTGTGATTATAAGATAGAAGCAAACGTAACTGTTAAATTAAGTTACCCCCACAATTCCTCAATTAGGAATACATATGCAATCTAGTAATGTTGCATCCACAAGTTTTGAACTTTCCACTCAAGTTCACGAGTATTAAGTTTAACCCCCACATTCTTGGGTTATACTTGAACTTAGAGTTCATCAACTCTTTTATAGTTCAATTCATAATATCCTTATTGAGTACTTTGTGAAATTTTAATTGCTTTCAGAATAGTGATCGTTGACTCACAATTTATTTCAATTAAAATTGCATATAACGTACTTCAATCCAATTATTTTAATTTGATCATTCAAATTAAATCAAGGCCATCATATAGACCTGCAATGCTTTCAAACGTATACCAACTTAATTGGTTTCATGATTGAAGTCAAATTCAATAATAAAGAGGGGTAAGCATTGCAACTTCTTCAAACATATGCATCTTATCACATTTGTGACATTTCACATGATAGTTTTATTTCAACTATCGGTTGAAAAGTTGTGTTCTCAAAAGATACAATCCTATAAAAGGACACACCTCTTGAATTAATCTTTATAAAGAGACACACCCATTGGAAATTAATCATACCAAAAGTCATGATATTTCATATGAAAAGACACATCTTTCCATGCAAAATTTTCTACGATTTCAAATAATTAAGTGGCTTAATTCTCATTACTAAATAATGATATCCACTTAAATCATCTCACTTAATTTTATGAAATTAATTGAGGCTATCACCATAGTCAAAGTTAGTATAATTTCAATAAGATATGAAATTTTAACCAACTAATTTACCATGCCATTATCATATTCCAATCAAAGGAATTGTCATGAAAGTTCATGTACTTTCATCAAATAATTGACATCCTTATATGTCCAATGGTTAGGAATAATTTCCTTATTTCCATCCATTCATTATTGGACTCGAGTTGATTTTAACAATATCCAATTCATCATGACCAATGTGAAGGAATAACAACTTATATTCCAAACATTTATACATCCATTGTATAAGTTTATTCCATTTATAGGAATGTTTACTTCCATATCATAAGAGATATTGCAATCTCACATAGAAGAAAATTGTCACTCACAAGTTCCCAAGATGTACATTATACAGAAACATAATATTTTTCGAGGCTAGCAGAAAAATTTCACAAAATAGAATGTTGAAAGTATGGCAGAATGTTAAGCGTAAATCCATTGGTTCAAATTATAGCAACATATGCATTTAATTATAGTCACACATGCCATTTGTCTTTCTAAATATTTATAGTACACATGCCATCTTTTTTTTAGAATATTTTCATGAAACATATTACCAGATGCATGCAGAAATCTGCACATGCTTAAGGAAAAATGCATATGCAAAGATGAAGAGAACTCTATAATTACAGTTATCTTCAAACGTCTCCATTCGTATTTTCACATAATATTGGGTTTCCATGCACGCACCGGTTCAAATTTTATTTCCATTTTATGATACAAATATAGCAGAATTTCAAATTGCAATTTTTGAATAGAATCCAATTTGTTCCCTTTAGTGAGTAGTATAGTTGG